ACAACCACGACACAAGAGGGAAGGTGAGACTTGATATCCCAATGCACAGATTAGCCAAAACTGGGTCATCTCACAAAATAAACTGCATTAGATTTTTCAATAAACTTCCTTCATATGCTAGAACTGCACCAGTCAATGTTTTCAAGAAGAAAATGTACGATTGGCTATTAAAAAATCCGTTTTATTGTTTAACTGAGTTTTTAGACTGTCCTGTGATCCTAGATTAACACTTGTAGATAGAATTGATTGAAGAAATGTTGTTATTGTCAGTAGTGTTTGGGCCTATATAGGTTTATGATTGTTATATGTGTAGATTTTCTTTTCCTTAGTATTATGATAGATTTAGCCTATATTGTATGACGAAGCCTATTTCATGTAATATGATCAATGGTGAATAAAGATTTCTGATTTATTGATTTCTGATTTCTGTACAAAGTTAAAAAGTAATCTCAAACTTTTTTTACCACTAGAAATTTGGAGGTTACTTGATGTTTTTGCAAATAAATTTTAAATGGTGAGGAAACCGACCAAAGTGGAAGGTAATATTCCGAAAGAGAATAAAATTTCCTACAATCTACTATTATGCATTTTTTGAAAATACTCAATAAATGTAGCCTAAATTTGGCTTAAAATAAAAAAGTGTGAAATTTAATGTTTGCTATGTTTATTGTCTACATTGAAGATGGGTATTTTCAATTTTTTTTATTTTGAAGCAATTTTTGGTACCTTTCTTGAGTATTTTCAAAAAATGCATAATAGTAGATTGTAGGAAATTTTATTCTCTTTCGGAATATTACCTTCCACCTCTTGGTTGGTTTCCTCACCATTTAAAAATTATTTGCAAAAACTTCAAGTAACCTCCAAATTTGTAGTGGTAAAAAAAGTTGGAGATTACTTTTTAAATTTGTAGAATTAAATCTACAGTTCTGCTGGATCGATTTTGTTAAATGATGTGTCTTTGGAAGGCATAAACTCTTTGAGTTGCTTTTTCGTTTGATGTGTATTTTTTATAGCGGTAAGCTTAATAGTATAAAAGTTATAAAGCGTTAAAACTGGGTCATTAATTTTGAATCACCCTTTACTCTTGTCATGCCGGTGATCTAGTTGGTGGACTTGTCGCTCGTGTGAACTGGCAAATTTTAGTCACAGCTAGATGTGTTGCTTATGTGAACGTGGCCTAGCGTTACACAGACGAGTGTTACGTTGATGTCTTTCTGCATGTGTGGTTTCGAATCCCGTACATGTTGTGTGGGTTAGCTGGTGAGAGAGGCTCACCTTAAATAAATGGTATCCAGCTTGGGTAGAAGTTTACGGCATTATTGAGTTTGACATATGTTCGCTACTCTAATTATGGTATCTGAGCACTAGCACTGCACGCAGCCTACTATAAATGTAGCACTGGCTGTCCTAATTGACATTACCTGTGAGTTAACCCAGCGTTCGGTGGGGAACTTTGTTATTGTAGCCACGTGTTGCGCACGATTCGTATGTCATTTTAGTGAAATTTTTTTTGGATAGGTAATTTTTTTACTTATTGTGTCAGTGCTTTTTGAACAGTGTAGTGTGGGGGTTTTGGCTTGGATTTAGTTACATGTAATAGGATGATAACAATAATGACTGTTAGTAATAGCATTCTGAAAGGAATCTAACCTCAAAATAAAACTTGAAGCCTTTTTTCAGTATTTTTTGATGGTGTATCCAGGTACTTTGTCCCTCTATTTGACAATACAGAGGGTCTGTTGGCACTTTTGTTTAGTGCTGCTATCCGTAGGGTTCTTGTAAAACTTCCACAACAACTGGAATGCAGTTCATGCTACAATAATATGCCTCTCCTATTGGATTAAACTAAATCTAAATGTTTTAGTGCACTCATCCACACAGCACAATAGCTAAAAAAAGGTTGTAACCTAAAAAAAAAACTATCAAAGAAATAAAAAAATAAAAATAGGCTTAGTGTTTAAAGTGTTAACTTCATTTGGGTTTAACATTCAAACTAATTAAATTATTGACCACTCTTTTATAGGTAATATTCTTTATAATGTGTTTGTGGCTATACTCAAAAATATGCATGAATAGATCGTAAGTTTAAAAAACTATTTTACTTAAATTTAATAATCACAAAATAATATATATTTTAAATTTTCTTGTAGATTACATATATTCCATCACAAGTCATGTGTTGAAAGAGATTAGGGTACTCCATCACTGTTGTTGGTGAATATAAATCCTTGGTTCTTAATTTGACTTTATAAAATGCTAGGGCATGGCAACTTGCCACCTCATTGTGAAGCCAATCGGCTTAACTGCCAGGATGTATATTTTTGTACCCTGGCGCCTATTGTTACAATTTTAAATAGTTGATTGCAAAGTATAATCCATAATGATTAAATGCTGCTATATGATTATTTTGTGCTGCTAAGAGCACATTTTCAGGTTAAACGTTAAACACTATTCTCATTGAAGTATGAGGCTTCATGACTAATCATCAACCGGTAATACAGCTTGTGTTCGGACTACTTGGCCAAGTTTTTTGTATAAATGTCGTATTCGTATGGGTTTGTGTTTTTGTGCCCAAGAAGTGTTTATATTAATGCTGATGACCTCATACATCAATGAGAATAGTTTTTTAGCGTTTAACCTGAAACATGTGCTCTCAGGAGTACGAAACAGCTGTTGTTATTTATAACACAACAGGATCAATTGACGCAACAGGTATTCTAAACCTTTTTAATATTTTGATATTTCAAAAAATGTACTCAAGGGGATTTGATATATTTCCTGGATTGAAAATGAATGAATGAATATATGAATGAAAATTAAAGTCCAGTGGAATCCACGTTTTAGCAAATTTCCCTTATAGGGAATAAGCTATTACCATAGTACTCATAGCAAGACCTAGACCCGGGACTGATTTACTTTTTCGTTTTGTTTTAAGGGTCCTAGAGGATATAAACACCATCCATATTTATAATTAAATGTAAACAGCCGGTGTTGATTACCAACACAAGTCAATGTTTTTAAACTGTAAGTCAATGTTTTTTTAAACTACAGTGTCTTTTTCTCGGAAGGAAGGGCAGTAGGATGTAAACTAAAGCCTCGGTCACACTAGGCTGTTTAGCAGTTTTGTTAGCTAGAAATCTAACTGATTAGAGGTTATTTCCAGAATTTTTTAAAAACTAATGAGTATGATAGAAGTTAGCCCAAAAAAAACTAACGAATATTGCTATTCGTTAGAATTTCTATTTATTATTCCCAAGTATGCAGCTCAGATAATGTTAGAAGTTAAACTATTTTTAGATAGATACAAATTTATACAACCATATTTATAACAGCCATTTATAACAGCTGCGCTACAAGTTACAACTAAGTTACAACTAACTTTAATGTGACAGTAAAGAGATATTTATTTTTTACTAGCTGTGTACCCGTTCTACGCACGGGGATCTTTTAGTGTTCAGTTGAAACATTCATGTATAAAAACAGCAGTTGGTTTGCATATTTTGAGATATGCTGGCTAAACTATTATACATAACTTCATTTTATGTTGTTTGTTGTTGTTCCGGATTGGTATGACAATCAATAAAAGGTTAAATTGTCTGTGTCCGCCGGTCGATCCTAATGTATCCTATTACAGGAGATGCATTTCGGCAAAATTAAATCGCCATCATCAGTCCTAATATAAGGTCTTGAGCTTCCCCATTAGGTGCGTCTTGGAGTTTTTGAAACACATACACAAACTGTACATTTATGCACATGACGAATAAAACATAAATACACAGTAGGCCTACTTTTATTATTACTATGAACATGTAGACGCGTGACGGTCGTGTACCGAGTCTCGACTGAAAACGCTCATTTAAAAAATGCAAGTTTCCCAGCCATATACAACACTGATTCAAGGTCTTTTTCCCGGTTATCAAAACTCAAGAACAATTTTATACACAAAGAATCTCTATTTTCATTTACGGTTACCCTACAAATTATTTCACTTGCGATTAATTAAATCCGTTATGTAAGAAAAAAAGTTTTTTATCTTCCTTGGTTTGGATTTGCTTTCAAAACATGATCGGAAATGGTTGCGGTGTTTTTAAACAACATTCAATGTAAACATATCAGTTACAGCATAGATAAAACATACTCCCTTAGTAGATTTCCCATCCTTATGGAACAGCTGAAGCCAATTTTATTGTTAGTTCTGTCCGTTTTTCTGTAGAGGTCGTGTTTTGTTTACAATTTGTTTCCCGTTATTACAGCCATTTAAAACCTCGTTTAAGCAAATAATACGATCTAATCATAAACAATAACTTGTCCCCTAGTTATATAACCAAACAGTAAAGCACAAATCAAGAAATTAACCCTAAAATAATAGAAACAAAGTTTCATCGACACTAGCGCCTTTGTGTCACGTACATGAACTAGACACGAAAAACGTGCTTCAAAATTTACAATGGGATGAGAAGTCTACTTGTGTTGGTTAGTCTATGGTTACAGCTAGAAGAAATAATCTTGATTCAAACAGCTGTTTCGTTATTTAGATAAACATTGGGAGAAAACTTTAAAAAAATCGCACAAAATCGGGTTTTTAAATGTCCGTCATTTTATTTACAAAGTAGTGACGCCATATTTTAATGGCTAAAGACAATCTCGCCAATCCAGTGAATACATTAAAATGATTTGGAACTTGATAGGTACTCTCGTTTTTCAGGAGAAGGCCACGTAAAATGGCTCTTGGGCCGTGACAGACAGGAAGACGGACAGACAGAAATTTAGATGAGACTTGTTTCGGTTTCTTTAATGTATAAAACGTAAAAATAACCTAAAAGTTTATGATTCTGAGCAATGTACAGACAAAACTCTAATTTTATTTATATATTTATATTTATATTTATATAATAATCATACACTCTTACAATTAACAATAACAATAAATGTCTCAGCAAATCGAAACTTCAAGTTGAGATTTATCATTTCTGTATGGTAATAAGAACTAAAAAATAACAGCAAGCATTTAAAAACATTTATTTTCTAATAAAAATTCAATTTAAAACAGCTTTTATCACTTCAAAATCTTCTTTGTACAATATTTTTTACTTTTGGGCCCTGCTGAGTGTTTTTAGCATTAAATGTGATGTGTCAGTAGCAATTATTATCATACAAAACTTTGTTTTTTACCTTTAGATGCAACCTTAGCTTTAATTTCTATGAGATATAGAAGCCACCAAAGCCATGGCTTTTTCTACAGCTTCTCTATTAGAAAAGAACTTCATTGATACAACTGGTTTTAAATTTTCATCCAACTCGTAGTAAAAAGGCATGCCTGTAGGTAAATTGAGTTTCATGATGTCTTCATTACTAATACCTAGAAACAAATAAATAAAGTTACTTGTAATCTAAAAACTATTATAGGAAACAGCCATATTAATATGGAGCTACTATATTAATACAATACTTTTCCCAAGTCAATGCTTCATCTGAATAAGATAATGGGATTGTATACTTGCAGTATCATAAGTCAATGCTAAATCATGTAAATGAGATGTCCTATCACAGTATCCAAAGTCAATGCTTCATCTGTTTCTCGCAAATGTGATCTCTACTTGCAGTATCTAAAGTCAATGGTACATCTGGGTCACATACATGAGTAATCTACTTCCAGTATCCAAAGTCAATGGTTTATCTGGTTCTTATAAATTGATTGTCTACCTGCAGTATCCAATGACAATGGTATATTTGGATTACATAAAGGGAATAATCAGATGAAGGGATTTCCTATATTTTCAGGCAAGTATGTCCTATATGCCAGTGAAATTTGGAAAATGGATCAGCGTAGTACTTCTCAGCTCCAGGTGTTTGTAAACAGGTGTCTCAGACGTATAATGAGAGTGTTCTGGCCATAAAAACACTATATCAAATGAACAGCTTTGGGAGGCAACATCAGCCTGGAAATCAGCAGACGGAAGTGGAGGTGGCTGAGTCACACTCTTTGGAAGGCGGATGGATCAATTGAAAAGGAGGCCCTGGATAGGAATCCCCAATGGACGAGAAAGATGGGAAGCCCCTGTGACACCTGGAAATGAGCAATAATGAAGAAAGCCTCGAGTGTCGGGAAGACCTGGGGTCAGCAGAGGGATCTGGCGCAGGACAGGGATGGATGGTGAGCTCTTCTCGATGCCCTATGCTCCCGCTAAGGAGAGACAGGAAATAAATCATGTAAGTCAAGTATATTTTCAGTATCCAAAGTCAATGGTGCGTCTGGTTCACGTAAATGGAATGTCTGTTTGGAGTATCTAAAGTCAATGGTGCATTAGCGCAATTCTAGCGACCATAATCATTATTATTCATTTTATAGTAACTTATGCTCAAAAATATTACTACGATTGTTCTTCCCTATTGTTCTGTATTTGTAACACGCTACTTATTATCCGTTGAGTAACATATGTTGACTCTTTTGTTTACCTTAAGGCACTAACTAACTAAGGCACCTACTGGCACTAACCTAAACTAAAGGGCTGCATTAATTCACATTAAAAATATTAAAGATACATAACGCTGTTAGATTTGTTATTTTAGCGAATTTCCCATATAAGGAATAAGCTATTACCGTAGTACTCATAGTAAGGCCTGGACCCGGGACCGATTTACTTTTTCATTTTGAGGTCCCTAGAGGCCAAAAACACCATCCTTTCAAATTCATATATATATTTATATATGTGTCCGTTAGCACGATAACTCAAGCAAAAATCATCCGATTTTGATGAAATTTGGTACAAACGTGTAAACCAACGTTTCTTCGAACGAGTTCGCGAACCAGCATGATTGGACCATGGGAACAGGGGATTATGGGGGGTTTTATGGGGTAAAAATTGGTTTTTCCCATTTTTGACCCTATAAAATAAAAATTTAGCATTTTCTTTCCAAACCATGTTGTAGAGCTTAAAAAAACAAATAATTTAGTATATTGAAGCGTTAATATGCGCCTAATGTTTACAGAGAAAACTCCAAAAAACTGTAAATTTAAAATTCCTATGTTATTCTTATGGAGAATAAGTAAACTGCTGTAGTTTGCTTGTTTATGAACATATTTTGATCAAATTTGGAAAATGCATTCATTTAATACCAAACTATAAACATTTCACAAAAAAACAAACTTTTTACCCTCTCTGTTGCAGCAAACCTAAGTAATCAAATCGTTAAACTAATGTTATTTAAAATAGGGAATAAACGTTATATTTTAAGGAGACATTTTAGTGTAAATCCAATCAGGCAAATGGAAATTCACTTAGTCTGCAGGTTTGCTACGGCGGGGGTATTTTATAGATTGTTTATTTTTTTCCCAGAGGTTATAGATGTGAAGTGGATGTGCTACTTATAATTGTCAAAAATTTTAGAATTTTGTTTTTTTGAACTCAATTTTTATTTAAATTTTCTTCTACAAGAAAAACACAACAATTTGATGTAAACATACCGTACACATTTCATGGAGAGAACAAATTTTCAAGTTGAACATGCACACAAACTTTTGACAAACTAATCATCATTTCGTTTTTGTCAGTCTCGTACAACCCACAGTGAATGATTAACTGATATTAACTGATCAGTTATTAATGTTGAATTTTGCTTGATATGTAGTAGCCCTAATCTTCGAATATATATGAATCTGAACGAAGGGTGTTTTTGGCCTCTGGGGACCTCAAAACAAAAAAGTAAATCTGGCCCGGGTCTAGGTCTTACCATGAGACCTACTGTAATACTGTAGCTTATTCCCTATATGGGATATTCACTAAAATGATTACGTGTTTTTGTAATTCAAACCCCACAAAAATAAAGATAATTTTATCATAGCAATTTTAGATGATGGTTGAGTTCCCCTGTTATTTCACACTTGCAGAAGATTTTCTCATTAAGTATATAACCATTTACCTGATGTAGGCAATTAAAAAATTAACAGGAATTTAAACCTTAATTTTTTAATTGGGAGTTAATAATAAAAGAAAAAAGTTAATAAGAAACTAACTTGTGTGTGGTAATCATTTAATGTTATCAGCTCCTGTCACTGTTATCTTAAGCTAATATTGTCAAATTTATGATTTAGGTAGGCCTAAAAACAACTTCATTTCAGTTTCAAAGTTATCAGCCACTCAGCAGGGATTCCAAATAGTTGTTAATTAACTGATTATCGTCAAATTGTTAAATAATAAATGTATCTTCAAAATTCAACATGACATATACTCGTAAAAATATGGATCTAATTTCTCTTGTGTTATATATTTTAGATTATCATATACGTATAGTATTGGATTATTATTTGATTTTATATCAATGAAAAGAAGGCCATCTTTTGACTAAAGGTAAAAATATGTATACAAAACATACCATCAATATGTTTGACAAGCCCTCTTAGAGTGGTTCCATGAGTCACAATCAATACTCTCTTGCCACTAAGTATATCTGGAACTATTGTTTCATTCCACAATGGTAAAGTTCGAACCATTGTTGTCTCAAGTGATTCAACCTCAGGAATAAATATATTTGGTTGGCTTTTGAACTTAGGATTCTCCACAATACTTGTGTAATACTTGTGAGTTTCCTTCATCGGTGGAGGTAAAACATCAAATTTCCGCCTCCAGATTTGAACCTGTAGACAGTGAAAGTGGTAAAAAACATTTTCACCACACTATGATCTTTTTAGCTTTTTTACATACGTTAATTGGTGGGTGAAAGTTATGTTTTGCTGGCCATGCCAGCTGTCATCGTCATTTGGGGACCAAGCAGGTTTTTACATCCTTAGGGCCACAAAATCAGCTGCCCACTTACTTTCTTAGAACATTTTTTTTTTTTTTTTTTTTTATCAGAATTGATTTTACAATCTGTTCAAACTTCAAATATGAGAACAATAAGTAAAACATATATCAAGCAATGTCAGGAAGCAAGCACCTGTTCATCAACAAGTCTTGCCAAAAATTTGATCAGTCATTTAAACATTTACAGAAATCTGTAGCTTAGGTCCAGCACATGCACAACACTTTTTAACCTGTTAATGCACTGACTATTGTCCAGCAGATTAACAGCAAGACTGTTCGGATGATATTCTAATTTTTCTTGATAATTTTTGCTAAGGTCTGTAATTTCTTCTTTCACTGATTTAATTTTGAAGTCATTCCTAATTGTAGTGTTGGATACGAACCAGGGTGCGCCAATAATTCTTCTCGCTGCCTAGCAACTATTAATTATTATTTTTGCTGATTCCTCAAATTATTTCTTCACATACTGGTAACCTTAAAGTTGTAGTTGTGTTGACTATCAGTGTGCATTATTGAGGTGAATAGTGGTAATAGGGTATAGTGTGGTGAAAAATACTGTTCGTACCACGGACCGAAATGGTTTTGCGGCTCTCGATCATTTTAAAAACTATTTCGAGCCGGCAAAACCTCATTTTCAGCCATAGGTACGAAATATACTATTTCAACATTACCCTTCCAACAACTGTTACTGGCCTGCAAATTATTTTTTGCATGTTTATGGTTTTGACTTCCTTTTAGATTCCAGCATTTGGCTTACCAAAACATATTTCTAAAAGCTTTCATTATGTTCTTTAAAAAGTATACTAACATCTTGAATGTTGATGACGGATTTGCAGACATTATGAGTGAAATTATAAAATCAAAATAATTTTGTATGCATATAATAGTTTTGGATTATTCTTGCTTTTACACTTTAATTTATTTACTTATCAATTTAAAATGTGTCGACACATTTTAACAAAACCTTGTATAGTAGTAAATGCTTAAACAACTTTCAGCTGCTGTGACTATCAAGCAAGTTTCATGATAATTCACAATTAGTTATCTACACAATTACAGTAGAACCCTTCATATCCAGCCACCACGGGACCAAGCCCCTGACCGGATAACGATTTGGCCGGATAAACCAACCTACTATGAAAATGATAATTCATAAGTATACGTCAATATATACAATCAAATGTATAATTTAATTCTGTTCTGGGATCATTTTTAGAAAAATAGACATGTTTGTAAAAAGAAAAAAAATATTTGTAGGTTAAAGTCATTAAGTAATGAATGTACAAATATTATGATTCCAGGTAACAAAACCTATTAAATGGAGGTAAAAATGACAATAAATTGTACTTAAAGATCATTAGGACTTAAATGGTACATGCATTTCTACTCAACATTCTTAACCATTTTGTGAAATACAAAAATTAATGTACTCATACTGTACTGTACTAACCCCACTTTGGAAATAATCAACCAACTGATCAGAGGTTAGGCCTACTAGTTCAACTGAGTATAGTGACTCAGCAAATAAATGTATAAACAAACAGATAAATAATGAGAACAATTTATTTTATGACTTGAGCAGTCACAAAGACTAGTGGCTGCATCTAAACGTCTGTAAGCTGTGAGAAAAAAAATGTTGATATTGGCTTCCTGGAAGGGGCCGGATAAACAGAGGACCGGTAAAACCAAGGCCGGATATGAGGGGTTCTACTGTAATCATCTTGAGTATTGGTGTCGATGGCAGAATATGGTAACAACTCAGCCATAGCAAACCTCGGCAGAATAAGGTAACAACTGAGCCGTGGAAAAACCCTGCCTGTCTCTTAAAAGTTCTTCTTTCGCAATAAAGTCCAAAATTTTAATCACGTAACAATATCAACCTTAAATAAAAAATATAACACAACTAATTTCAAACCTCTTTTTTAACAATATTAAACTTTTTAAAAGTCTACCAGTTTGGTAAATAATAAAAGCACACAATGATATTATGTAGGCAGCACAATTTGTCACAGAAAAAGTATGTATTAAGTACTGTGTTATAAAATTGAAAATAACTTTTACAAGTAAACAGTTTAAAATGTTTAAATGTGTAGAAAAATGTTTATAAAACAAATAAACTGAAAAGCAACATACTTGCTCAAGACCATACTTTTCAGCCATCTCTTCTTTATTGTACCCAGTCAAGTCTCCATAATGTCTCTCATTCAATCTCCAGTGTTCAACAACTGGTAAATCTAATTGATCTATTTCTGTCTTTATAATGTCTAATGTTTGATTAGCTCTAGTTAGTAAGGATGTAAATGCTACATCAAACTCCAGCCCAGCATCTCTCAAAGCTTTTCCCGAGGAAACAGCTTCTTCTAAGCCTGAAACATAAAAAAATATTAAAACGCGTGTTAAGAAAATACAACTGTCCACAGTTTATTCATACTAATTGAGAAACTCAGAAATTACTAATAAAGGCTTTCATCAAAGTATGGGTTGGCTGGACATATCCTATTGTATATAAAAAATTATCCTAATGTAATTTGTTGTCTATGTGATGGTGCTACTACCCTGGCATTGCTTGTATTTCTTGTGCAATTTAATGGTCACACTTTGGTCATCCTATTCACTGTATTCACAAATGACACAAAAATGTATGCTACTTGTTACCTTTATCTTATAGTCAGACAATTTGCAGATTTTCCACATGAATGGCAAACAACTGGTCTGTGTATGATCAACAAATTGTGGATGTTGTTATGGCTAATGCTAAGGTCATACTGTTTCCAAAAGTCATTTATTGCATTTAAACATTACAACTTGTCTTCAACTACAATACTGAGGTTCAAGGAGGTATATAGTACTGTTGAGTGTGGCACTAAACAAGAGTTGATAACCACCGGACTGCTCACTTCTTGTTGCAACCCACACAGTCCTGATTTTTAAATATTTGAGTAAACATACTGTTTACAAACCCATTTTTAAAACGGAGTATCTGTTCCCAGTTATTTTAAGTTAATGCAGTGCTAAACAAACCTCTCTAAAACTAAATCATTAGCCTTTAAGGTTTAGTGTGGTCATACACAGTGGTAGAAACATACCAGTATTCATTTAAATGATTTGTGTTTCATAAAATGTTTTTCAACAACTGCACTATCGCTTTTTATGGAAGTAATATCTCTGCTGGTTTGATAGCTCTCCTAAGTTGTTTTTGCACTCGCCAATACTAGATACAGTGGCGGCGATAGCGGCCCCGCACGGCCCGCGGTGCGGGTGGGCCCGCGAGCTATGGGGGCCCGTGAGCCCTGACTGGGATTTTTCGGGAAATTTTACCGGGACACGGGCCCGCAATTGTGTGACAGGCTCAGCCACATGGGCCCCCTATCATAACAATATTTATATGAAAATGACCATAAGTTTTTTTATGCCGAAAATTTGTTAACCCCAGTAAGAGCACTAGGACAAGTAGTTTACAACAGCTTTACTGACACTATTATTTGGCCAATCGATATAAACTCTCTACCAACCAAAGTAAAAGAATTGTCATCAGTCATGCAGGTTGCATCAACAGTCCTCATGGACTGCGTGAAGGCGCTATTTATAATAGGGCCGTATTTAGAACCAATGTGTCCCCGTCCTAGGAGGATAAAGCTAAAACATTAATGTTAATCCTCCTAGGCCCCGGTGGGGCACACCAGAGAGGGCCCTCAATGCTGATTTAACTTAATGAACTTGACAATTTTTTACGATCCGATCAAATCAGCGAATTAACCTAGGTGCCTGATGCGCTAGCTAATAAATAATTCCTTTCTTTCATTGACGCTAAAGAAGGATTTTCATTTCACTTCATTTCTTACTATTAGGAGGCTGCACTTTAGATTTGTTTACTTCGAGTCAGGTAAACAATTTTACTTACTTATAGGCCTCGGGCCAAATCAGAGCGGTTCAAAATCGGTTTGCTTTGGAAACTGTTGATTTTTATATAATGTCGATTTTCGAGCCGAGCACTGGAGCAGAACCTGTATATAAGCTTGAGAGATCAAGCGCGCAAAGTCAGAAAATCAAGCTCAAGCCGATTTTCTCAATACAATAATGCCCAATTAAAATTATAGCTTTTATGTCCTCGAGGATCACACTCACGAAATTGAAAGATTAGGCCTACGTTTTTGCTGCGATCGCGGATATCGACGAGAACATTTCCCCGCGGGTGACAATGACGATGTCCCTGCAGCCGCAGGAGACATTCAATATTTTACCGGATTGCGGAAGACGTTATTAACATTTTTCTGCAAGCGAGAAATATTTAGGATTTTGCCGTGATTGCGGACAAAAATTATTTCCCCGTCACCACGGGTCACGGGGCGGGAGATATTAGGGATTGGGCCGTGAACGCAGGAGACGATAATGTTGTTATCTGATGATGTCATAGGTCATTTTGCCGTGATCATGGAAGACGATGATGACGCCTCGGGAGACGCCGTACCAAGCTAAAGTTTAGGCGGTAATACATATGATATAATATTTTTTAAGATTATTGGGAGGGGGCCCGGTGAACAAACTTGCAGGGGGCCCGCGGGCCCTTATCGCCGCCACTGATTAGATAGGCCTACTACCTGTCTTTCATCACATTAAGTGTTTTGCAGGAGTTACTGCAATTTGCAATAAGTTATCTCACTTTTATATAACAGTTTTCAGATAAAACAAGTCACAGCCTCCAAATCAGAAAATTTTGATGATTTGAATAAAAGAATAACAAAAACAGGATTAGTTACTCACAGGTTTAAATTTAGTAATATTGTGCTTCTAACTGTCAATAAAGCTATATTTTTACTTAAACTTTAGAACATTTCTCCAGGCCCTAGGGTAATTTGTTCTTTAGGACAAGTGGCAACCCTTAATCTTGCACTTAATCCTTTCAAGCAAACTACACTGATTATACAAACCTAGTTAACACGTTCAATGAGGGTGACGAGTAGTCTCGTCATGGCTGGCGCTGCCAAGCGGCGTGCAATGAGTATACTCTTCAAAGCACCACTACAAAATTATTGCCTCGATATGAGCAGAGTTGTCGACGGAGGATGTTGTTTTTTGTTGCTCTGTAAGAAGTAGTCCTTTGTGTTTCCTCAGGCGGTGGCGTCGTTCCCATCGCGTTTGTTATTTGTGTGTATGTTTTTGTGATTTGGTGTGTTATATGACGTAAGTGTTGTGCAATAGTGAATGATTATGGCTAGTTCTTCACGGATTGATAATTTTCTCACTGAAGATGAACTAGGAGATACGGATAACAATCGTTTACAACACAAACCAAGGATTACTTTTGGTGTAACGTGCGTCGGTTCTACATAGCAGTCGGACGGGTGCGGCGCATGACGAGTATTCCTGTCACGAATAATGATGTCACATATGTCGCCAAAAATAGAAAATTTTGACGCAATAACATTAGATCATCATCCAAAACGACATTCGGGGAGTTAATTTGAGTTTTCATATTTTAGCCGTACAAGTGATATAGCCAATTTCGGTGCCGCATTGATCTTGTTAAGTTATTTATTTACAGTTTTTCTTTGTAATCTCTGTTATTAGCAAATTTCCCATATAGGAAATAAGCTATTACCATAGATCTCATGGTAAGACCTGAACCCGGGACCGATTTACTTTTTGTTTTGATGTCCCCAGAGGCCAAAAACACCATCGATGTGTCTGTTCCTCTAGTCGGTCCACGTACTCCCGCACTCTTTTATCTCCTTTTTGACTTGCTGCACGGTGTCGAGTTCATTCTTGATCAGCACCATGCGTTCAAATTCATATATGTGTCAGTTAGCACGATAACTCGAGCAAAAATGATCGGATGACATTTGGTACAAACATTTAAACCTACGTTTATTATAACGAGTTCGCAAACCAGAGAGATGAAAAACCTATAAAATCTCATGGGAATGGTGATTTATAGGGGGATTTATGGGGTAAAAATTGGTTTTTCTAATTTTTGACCCTCAAAAAATAAAATTTCCCTAATCTATCCATATATAAAGCCCAAAGTACCCATGAACTTTTGAGAAAACTACAAGTCACACCCCCCGTAAACCAAATACTTAAAATGTTCGTCATGGTGAGAAACCTTGCGCAAAACTTTACATTATTTCATAAATTGCCCTTTAAGGTTGTAATTGCTTTCTAAAGGGAACTTTCCATATCCTGTTAAAAGTACCTCAGCTGTACTTATTTGTATGTTATTCTTTCAATTTATTTCCTTATTAAAATCAGGTGTGATTTTGTTTGTATTACTGTATTCTGTTTTGTTTATTTCAGCTTAACTTAACCAATAAATAGTTTTATTAATACATTTGACTATTAATACAACAACTTAAAAAAAGTCAAACGGGGTGAAGCCCTTGGGTAACAGTTAGTTTATCTATAAACCATTTTGAAGAGCTAAAAAAAACAACAAATAATTTAGTATATAGTATAAGTGTTTTGTACGGTTGTTGGACATGGAGTAAATTCAAATAATCGTAAATTTAAAATTACTATGTTATTCTTATGGAGAATAAGTTCAACAACTATTGTAGTTTGCTAGTTTATTAATATATTTTGATCAAACTTGACAAATTTATTTATTTTATACTAAACTATTATTATTTTACTTAAAACTTACTTCATTACCCTCCATGTAGCAGCAAACCTAGGTACTTGTTAAATCTAATGTTATTTAAATAGTTAAGTAAAAATCAAACCATGCAAATGGAAATTCGCTTGGTCTGCAGATTTGGTGCAGAGATAGTATTGTTATATGCTGTTTTATGTTTCACCACTGATTTTACTACACACTTAAGTTGATGGATTTTATAACCAATTGTGATAGAACCGTTACAGCGTCACACTTTTCTATCAAACACTGATTCAATGTAAATTTCAAATGTCATTTATCATTCTCTTTTCATATTTAAAATAAACATATTGATGAATGTAATCTCGCTTTAAAAATCTCTGAGAGAATGTGCTATTTTTAATCCATCTGAGCAAAAACTACTGTAATAAGATTACTTTGAATTTCAGTTTACACCCGAAGTTTTTACAGGCATATTGGCTATTTACACAACATAAACAATCAAATTATTGGTCATCAAAGTTTTAATATTGTTGTAATATACTACAGTAGAACCTTCCCGGTAACAAAGACTCTCATGGGGAATAAATAAGACTTGTTTTCAGGTTGACTTATTCTTATCAAGGTTAGAAATAACGTGTGGTTGGGGTTAAAATAAAATATATTTAAAAAAAATAAATAAAAAAATAATTTTAAGAGGATTTAAAAGTTACACTTACTTGTTATCAAGGGTGACTTGTTATTGAGGGTCTTGTTATCTAGGGTACCGTATATTGTTATCTAGGTTCCACTGCAATTATTAAAACGTAACGGGGGTTTTTTTGATTTCACGATTCTAAATCAACCACTTTACGGATTTTCATGATTTTCGTGTCAATTGAAAGATAATTTTGAGAATTAGGGAATGTCGAAGCCATAATTTTAGTTTAGGGTTTCAGTTTTTATAAACTAAGTTATATTTCAAAAAAGTTTAGCAGCCGACGCTAACATTCTAGACTAGCTTTTGGCATAATACCATTTGCTTAACGTAACAGCTGTAAATATTCAGCGTTGATGACACAAATTCAGCATTTGAATAAAAATGAAAAGACATACGTAGGGTTGACTTATTTATACTAATGTATGTGTAATGATATAATCATTGTACAATGTAATTGTAATCAATACGTTAAATTCTTCGGTAGAGGATGACAGATTAACTAAATAATGATGATCAAATTATTTTTTAAAGCAATCTTTAAAAACTTCGGTTTGTTTTAGTGCAAAGGAGAGTATGGACGATTCGTTTAATGATGTCAGGATACCAAAGTTATTATGTGTACTGTGAATTTGATTGGATATTATCCTTTTGGGCAGTTTTTATTCAGACTTACTGGAAATTGTGTATAGTATGAGTAATTGTATCGTGGTGATAATAATTATGGCAGGTGATAGTTTGCGATGGAAGGTGGTATCGTTGACTAGGCCTATACACGTCTCAATTGACAATTACTCTCTCTACTGTACGAATCAGTGTGCGAATCGACCGCAAATCTCACTTCAACACTTTTCATATCGACACTTATTGCTGTTTCATTGTAAAATTACCGGATTTAAAATGCATATCGTATATGCCTATAATGGGATGAAAAAATATTTGGCACGGTACATTTGTTTACAGATGATTTTTCACATTAAAACTTCAAGAAAATTTTTTTTATACGTGTTAACTAGCTGTTCTGAATTATATACAGAGTTTTAACTGACTACTCGATTCCCGTACGTAGGACAGGCTAACACCTCGTATCATTGATTGTTAGATAGTGATAGGTATTTTTATTGTAGGCCTATTGTATTGTCTTGTATGGTATAGGTATTGTATCAATAGTCAAAGCTAATATGGAGTTACTTTTTTAATTAGCTTTTTAAAGAAAACTAGCTGTTACCCACGGGCTGATCATCCCGTTTGACTTCATAAGTATTAATAAAACTATTGATTGGTTAAGTTAAGCTGAAATAAACAAAACAGAATACAAACAAATAATCACTCCTGATTTGAATTTGGTAATAAATTGAAAGAATAACATGAGGTATTTTTCTTTGGAAAGCAATTACGACCTTAAAGGGCAATTTATGAAGTAATGGATAGTTTTGTGCAAGGTTTCTCATCATGACGAACATTTTAGGTATATGGTTTATGGGAGTGTGACTTGTAGTTTTCTCAAAAGTTCATGGGTACTTTGGGCTTTCTATAGATAACTTTAAAAAATGTTTTGTTCTTAAAAACTAAAATAAATATAAAAAAATTGTTTTTTTGTTCCAGTTGCCCCACCATGGGGGCAAGTGGAACCACCCACATCTGAATTAAAATATATTGCATTGCGAGGAACGAGGGGCAAGAGGGTCCATAGGGAAATTTCCTGTAATTCTGGGACTTTTTGAATTATAAAAATATCTCCATCCGTTTTAAGTTTTAAACTTTTTCGTATAGCCTACCTTTGCGAAAAACATCGTAAAATGCAAAGAAACCTAAAATTGCAAAATCTTGTAAAAATATGAAATTATAACAAAAAATAGTACTTGGCATTGTGTGTGGTTGTAGTATAACTCTCTGGGCACATGACTCACTTGAAAAAAATGGTTTTTATACAGTTTTTTTTTTTTAATCAAGCTCATATTGTTATGGTCAGTTAGTGAAAAACCCCGTCTTCTCAGCTCCTAGAGCTGTTACTAATATTCCACTTGCTCCGGCAAAATTTTAGGGGGCAAGTGTAAGCACCGTTGTAAAATCTAAGTTGTAAGAAAAGTAATAAATTTGAAGTGATATTCTGAATCTACATGCAAACAATAGTTAGTACACAAAATATTGTTACATTTACTTTAAAAATGTAATCATAAAAAATTGTCAAAGTTTGACCTTTGAATTTACACTGCAAGGTGGTATGTAAGCTTTTTTCAAAACTAAAAAAGTACATTTTTTCATATGTTATTTAGCTTTATAAGGTTAAGAACCTTCAAACAAGGTCCAGAGAACACAATATGATGGCAATTAAGCACAGAGCATAGAATAAATAATATAGAGTCACCACTCCTATACCTACAGCTATACCAGTAGTGAAGCCGCGATTTCTGCCATCTTGTTAAGAGAGTCGGTCTTGGAACTTTGAAAACACGGCGTCATTACCACTGTGTTATTCTATGCTACCTACTTTAAGAATTAGATGAAGCTACCGCTCCGAGGATACATATAGAACTATCCCCCCTTCGATATTGACCTAGGACTCTGCCCCGTGGGCTTTCAAAGTTCTGAGGTGAGAGTTTTAAAAGTAAATATTAATTGGTGGTTTCCATAGTAACAATATAATGGTTTAAATGTAAATGCAGACCGGGCCGGCCGCCATCTTGGTACGAGAAGCCTGCTTCACTCCAGACGGCAAGTGCCGCCTCTATATTTATTCTATGTTCTGTGCAATCAAGCTGAAATTTCTCTTATCAGTTGATTGATATACTGCGGTTACACTTGACCCTACCTAAAACCACCCACCCAATTGCACATGTTTGATAAAAGTGTAACTGCATAGTGTTTTACCTTTGTTACTGAGAGGTGCATCATACCAGCCACAAAATAAGTTATGCTTTGTCCACTCACTTTCCCCATGACGAACAAACACGACTTTGAATTTGCCTCTCTGTACCATTGTTCTTGTCAAACTGAATCAAACATAAAAATTAATTATTTACATTGTGGTAATAGTAGGCTAAGATAAGTGCTCTCAAGTAGGATTATTTTAATTCAGAGTGATTAGTGATTGCTCTTATTGATGAATTATTTCCTTCATTGTTGCCGGTTTGCCCAAATATTTTAAACCATTAAAATTTTAAACCATTAAATTTTCATAATAAAAATAACTATTTTGACAACATAAGCATTGTTAATTGTAATTGTAATTATTGGTAATTGTTAGTTGTAATTGTTGGTTGTAATGAATGAAAGATAAGCTGAAAGTGACGTTATTTGTGATGGGATGCTAGCCTCTCGGACTGCTATTTTATTTCAATGTTTCATCACTTTTTGCATATATCTATTTAAATAACATTAGGTTTAACGAGTACCCAGGTTAGCTGCTTCAGGGAGGCAAATAAAGTGTTTATAGTCAAATATTAATTGCTTAGTATAAACAAAATTGGTCAAGTTTGATCAAAATATCTATAACCAAGCAAATTACAACAGGTAACAATATTTTCCTTTAGAATAACATGGGATTTCTTTTCTTTTTTTTCTCGCTGTAACTTATAGTTAAATTATTTGTTTTTTAAGCTCATTTAAAATGGTCTTTAGAGGCATTAAGAAATTTTTAGTTTTGTGGGTCAAAAATGAGAAACCCGTTTTTACCCCGTAAAACTCCCTTGGTCCGTTCATGCTGGCTCGCAAACTCATTCAAGTTTATCCCGCTTACACCTTTAGGCCAAATTTCATAATCGGAAAAAAAATTCTCAAATTATCGTGTTCACGGACAGATATCTAATATCAATTATCAAATATTATCAATTATTTGAGGTGGGGACGACACGTTTTGAACGGATGGCGTTTTTGGCCTCTGGGGACATCAAATTGAAAAAGTAAATTGATCCCGGGTTCAGGTCTTATAATGAGACCTTCAGTACCTAATAGCTTTTATTTCCTATATTTGCGCACATGTCGAAAGAGAGTGTCCCTGATTTTAGCAGCCTAGTATAATGTACCACATTTAAACCAATGCCCCACAACCGATTTTGTGCATCCCGGGAAGCAAAAAGTCACTGGACACTCAAATTTCAGAGTCCCAGTATCCGATGCTGGCATCCCTAGTCTAATCGCCCCCATTTGATTTAATGCTCCGCCAGCGTCCCGGACGCCAGTGTCCTAGTATAGTCGTAGCCTTCAACACATCAGTTTTATTTATATTTATTTTAATTAGGCTATTGCTAACAAATTTATAGTTTAGTCTTGCTTTTTTAAAGACATTGAACTTCAACTCAAATTTTAAAAAAAATTTCAGCAGATATTAGGTATTTTAAAACCTATTAAGACACTTAATGTAAAAAAAACTACAAAATAAAAATTGATGTAAAACTATTTGTTCAATCCAATGACTCTGTACAAATTTATGGTGTACTTTATGTAGTTTCCCATCATATTTAGCGAATTTCCCATATAGGGAATAAGCTATTACCGTAGTACTCACGGTAAGACCTGGACCCGGGACCAATTTAATTTTTTGTTTTGAGGTCCCTAGAGGCCAAAAACACCATCCGTTCAAATTCATATATATATATTTATACATATATATATATATGTATGTCCGTTAGCGCTATAACTCAAGCAAAAATGATGAAAAATGGTAAAAACGTGTAAACCTACGTTTATTCAAACAAGTTCGTGAACCAGCATAATCAGACCATGGGAACGGGGGTTTATGGGGGGTTTTATGGGGTAAAAATTGGTTTTTCCCATTTTTGACCATAAAAACAAAAAAGTTTGCAATTTCATTTAAACCGTTTTGTAGAGCTTAAAAAATAAAAAATTTAATATATTGAAGCGCTGTTGTATGTCTAACAATCACGGAGAAAATTCAAAAATAGTGTAATTTAAAATTCCCATGTTATTCTTATAGATAAAATGAAAACTGTTGTAGTTTACTTGTTCATGGATATATATTGATAAAATTTGGCAGATTTATTTATTTCATCCTATACTATTGACGTATGGTCAAAAACACTTTTTACCTTCCCCGTTGTAGCAAACCTAAGCACTCGTTAAATCTAATTTTATTTAAATTGGAAATAAATATGTCTTATTTATGGAAATATTTTAGTAAAAATGCAATCAGACAAGTTGAAATTCGCTTGGTCTGCAGGTTTGCTGCGGCGGGGGTATTTATTTTTAATATTAACTGGAAAGTATAGAACAGATACTCATTTGATAATTGAACACCAAACTTGGGCTGTCTAAACCCTTAAAAAAGCTACTAAGGCTATATTTCATGTTAGGGTAACATTTACTGAAATTCCAATTTCAACTATTTACACAGGCAAGGTAAGGGCTGTCCGGCTGTCTCTGATTTAAAGTCTCCATTGAGCTCCCGCCACAGCCAAGAGAGTTAGTTCAATTTTGAGAAAAACTTCATGTTCTTTAATTTGTCTACTACTATTCTAGCCGGTTCATACAAGTGAGAGTTAATTTTTCTTGGTATTCAAAAACATTGTGAGAAATTGTCGCTCTTGCCAAGTACAAATCATGTTCTGCGGTCTTAGTTGTCAACCGGATTTGATGTTCGATCATTACGAGTTGACAACTTTGAATTGAGTTTACAGTGTTTGGACGTAGAAAATGTCCAAAAGGGGTGGCAGTTTGAAGGTGTTTGTGAGCATTTGCATGACGTTTTCCGTAGTGTAGACTCACTGTGGTCGTTTGTCAGTCTCATCTGAAGGAGTGACCAAAGTTAGGAAAATGTTGCAAGCGGAGATCACAGTAGGCTAGTTCTAAAAGAGAGGTATTGCCGAACCGATAGGGGACATCTCTATAAGATTTTAAGATACCACGGTAAACACTTGAAGTGATAAACACACCGATCACCACACCAATCAAAGTTTCCCCTCAGTTTAAATCCATCTCGGTGGAAACTGATGAACACCAGATGCTGATCACATTGTCCAAATGTTTACAACATTCTGCAAACTCCCTCACCACTTATGCATTTTCTATTACAAAACACATTTCTGCATATCACACATCTGTGAACGGATAGCTGTAATCAACAGGGATTGACGACCCCTGCATACCTAATCACAGAGTGTGATTCATACTTGGTGGGGCATCAATTTTCTCTCACATAGTTTTCACCTACAATGATGAGATTAATCGCTGTGTAGAAGTGGGAACCGACTAGAATAGTAGTGGGCGAATTCAAGAACACAACTTGAATCTCAGGTTTGATCTGCCTCAATTTGAGCCCGATGAAGAACTTAATTTTTGGACCTTAGCCCTCGTATTACTAAATCAAACAGAAAAGCTGTAGTACTCACTAAAGAAATTGCAAAGATGGTGTAGGATGTTGCAGATGTTCTATTACAGAACTATTGTTTCTATTCCAGAATTGTTCTATTACACTACCGTCCTTTAATACATGAGGAATAAACTAGTGATGATTGAATATTTAAATGATCCAACTAGCAGGGAAGTAACAAATCCCCCATTCAAAATAGTCTACCAATAATTTTTAGTTGTTTAAAACTTAGTTAACGTTTTGATTAGTCAACTAACTGACTACTATCCTATTTAGTTGACTAAGCACAACACTGGAATAGGCAAAGTTACAAAATACTGATAAAATAATGTTTTAGGCATTTATGATTCATGGATAGGTTTAAATAAATTAGTTGATTCAAATATATTTGCTGGTTCTGGCAAGAAAGAACACATTGAATGAATGTACTACGCTAAGTTACGAGGGTTTTATGTAGCCTAGTATCATCTTCGGCAAGTTGCTTGGTTCCTGACTACATTAATTGGTAGTTGTGGAGGTAGAGAGGTGATGTGGACATGGACAACAGAGAGACAGATCAGGGTAGATGAATAAGACAAGAGTACCTCTGTTACTACAAGTTAACTTACTTAGTTAATACAAAGCATAATGTCCCATAGCTACGCTAATAATACGTACATATAATCACGTATGAGTTACTATACTACAAGTTAACGAAAAGCTTTGACTGGTATAAAGTAGGGTACTATCAATAATATCAATCATTGACAGAAATTGATTCACCAATAAGTTAGGTACATTTACCGGTATTGGTAAGGTAACAGAAGACAAAATGAAGATGTCACCATCATTTTCTACAGTAATATTTTTTAAATATTAAGTTATGAGATATGTTAAAGTTAACTCTTGATACCAAAACGACCAATATATATTTTATTAGGTTAGAATCAGTAGTTGAGATGAAAATCCGTATTTTTTGTTACTACAGTTCTGAGATACCGGTATTCATTGTTAAATTAGCCTATATTTATTATTATAATAAACATATTTTCTTTAAGTATTTACATTTTTGTAAAAAATAAAAACAATTTAGTTTATTGACTAAGCTTAATTGGGTTGTATTGTAAATCAAAACACTCAAGGCCTAGCCTCCTACCACGATTACTAGAAACCTCCTACTAGCCTATTTGAGGGGTTTCAAAGATTAGGCCTATGCTAAATGCTAAAGCTAATCTTCATCAGCCTTCAGAGAGATGTATCATGATAGGAACATCATTAAGTACCAAGCTATAACCGAAGTGTAGGAAGCTGGAATGAATAAATTAAGTGTTTTTGCACGTTATGACTATTTACTATTGTTTATGATATTATTATTATCTTCTGTTTGCGAGTGTGACGCCACTATGTAGAATTAATTGTTGTACACTTGCACTTGAGGCCTATTCCTATAATTATGTGCGTGTAGGTTAGGTAGGTGTTTAGAATAGAATTTAAATTACAGACGACACTATGGATGTGCCGAAAAAACAATAACAGTTGAGTTAACAGCTATTTTTTTTTTTTTAACTGCATGTAAACAGTTTGTGGAAACCGTTTCAAAGACGCTGGATCGCGACACAGATCATAGAATGAATATTTATTGTATCCTCTGTGGATCGCGACCATAGACACGGCCGCCTTTAACTCCAGGCCGCGGCCTTGGAAGTGGCAACGTCGCAAGTGGTGTTGTAACAGCTGTTTTGTTTGGAAGCGGCTACTTGTATTTGTGCATTTTACCATAGACAAAAAGAATTAAATATAGACTGTCAGCCGTTCTGCGGTTACCATGGTTACCATAGGTTCCGGCGCACACCACTGTAGTTTACGTAGCGCGTACACCATAAATACATGGCGCTCCAAGCAGTGTGCGCCAGAAGCTATGGTAACCGCAGCACAGCTGACGGTCTATATTTAATTCTTTTTGTCTATGATTTTACGAAAGATTATTGGTTACTGTACTATGACATTATTGAATCCGCTTAGATAAAAAATGTACAAATATAGATTTTTCATTCATATTGTTTCGTTTTCAATTCTGTATTATTTTCAATATTTTAATAAATTTATGTTCATAAATTTAAATTTAAATAAATAAATTGATGAGCTGATGTCACCTGTCTGCCATGCTATCTTATAGGACGTCTGTCACTAAACAACACCACTTGCGACGTTGAAAATTCTACCAAGGCCGCGGCCTGTAGTTAAGGGTGGCCGTGCCATAGAACTATAAATACCCCGCCGCAGCAAACCTATAGACAGTGTAGACTAAGCGAATTTCCATTTGCTTGAATTGATTTTAAATAAAATCCATTTACATAGCATCTTAATTATGTAGACATCCAGTAAACGCTCTAAAGATTATTTTTTATCTGTTCGTTTCTTAGCACTGAATCCAAAAATAAGACATTTTTTGCTGAAAAGCTCCGTTTTCCGGAAAAACGGAAAAAACAGAAAAAATACTTTTTTGTCCAAAATGCCCACTACTTGATGCTTAACTATCTACATTTAATATTGTGAAGTTCAACGAACCGAATTTACCCTCTTCAACTACTATTAAGGTAACACTGACTGGATATATAATCAATGCAAACTACTTGAGATGCTTAACCATCTACATTTTATATTATAATGTTCTCTAAAAAATTTTTTTTATCTGTTCGTAATTTTTTTAGGAATAGTTCCGTTTTCCGGAAAAACGGAAAAATATTTTTTGCCCAAAATATATGTTGTGGGTACTCAAATTGTGCGGAATTTCATCCTGAACAAGAATATGTAATTTTTATTACGATCGGACACTATTAAGTAAAAAATTCCCGGAAAAGCAGGCCGCTGGCTACTCATATACTGCCGCATAGCGCTAGCATTGCGGGTGACTCTAAGCCGTTGTGGAATACGGGCTTTATTTTAGGTTAGGTTTGGTTAGGTTAGGTTAGGTTAAGTTGGTTTAGGTTAGGTTAGCTTAACAATAACATGAGTATTGTAAGTAAACTAACTTAACATAACCTAATCTAACTTCCTTATCCATACTAACCTAACGTAACTTAGCCTAACTTAACCTTACCTAACCCAACTTAAGGTTGGCGTAGCGTACTCAGCTGGCCTGCTAATGTATAGTCACACCTTTTTTATTCAAATATGGCCCGCTTTTCCGGGGATATATTACTTAATAGTGATGATTACATATTCTTATTCGTGATGAAATTCCGCACAATTTGAGTACCCTCAACATATATTTTGGGCAAAAAATGTTTTTTTCCGTTTTTCCGGAAAATGAACGTTTCCTCATAAATTACGAACAGATAAAAAAATTTTAGAGCGTTGACTGGAGATCGACATAATTACTCATAGCAGGTTTAACGAGTACCTAGGTTTGCTGCTACATGATGAGAGATTTTATCCGACTGAGGACTGTTAATGTTGAATGACCCAATAACATTGTTAATGTTTTAATCACGTATTTTAATGTGATCAATGTGATTTACTTTTTCTACAAAATATTATGTGTTGTAACGTATTACGTGTTACCTAATGACGAATAACAATTAATCAATAATCGAACCAAATTAAACAAACAAACAAAAAATCTGTCTCATTGGTCACTTTTTAGGCTGTTATAAGGGTTTTGTGCACTAAGCAAATCAAAATAGTCTGTCTAGGCTATAATCTATATATTAATTTGAAACTGTTTTTCTTTGTCATAGCTATTTTGAGAGAACGGCTGGGTGTAGAAACTCGGTAGAGGTGTCTAAAGAAAGGTCTTGGTCTGTAGATGAGCCATCAAAAGAGAAACATGGTGAATTCCCTTGGGGCTCTGCCCCAGTGGCCTTTAAATTCCCATCCCATGTTAGTCTTATGGAGGAAAACGGGGTTTTTGCCATAGCTAATTTGAGAGAACGGCTGGGCGTAGAAACTTGGTAGGGGTCTCTAAAGAAAGGTCTTGGTCTGTAGATGAGCCATCAAAAGAGAAACGAGGTAAATTCCCTTGGGGCTCTGCCCCAGAAGCCTTTAAAGTTGCCTCTTCAGATTTGTTTACATTACGACCATATGGATAATTTTACACTACCTAATTTTTTATGAAAAAGCTGTTAATATTTAAATTGTGATTTATTGAAGTTGTCAAAATGAAGTACAGTATTTGCAATGGGGTTTTCTTATTTTAAATTGGATTTTCTTCTGCATCGTGTCATGTTTTGCAATATAATGTTCTATTACCAAATCAGAGGAAAATCATAATATCACAGTAACTCTTAAAACTATTTCTTTTGGAGTTAACTTATATCTATTGTATGGGTTGGTTTCTGCCTTTTTTACCACTTCTTGGAGATTGTAGGTGATATTTTTTGGCATATTGCATGTAGACGAAACTTGGGTTGGTGTAATTATTACAATGGAAAAGAGCAAAAAATCCTGGACAATTAGATATAGGCTAAAAATAAAACTTAATTAACACTGTTACACATTTCTTGAGCAATTATTGAAATAATCGATTTGCAAACAATGGAAACATAGAAAAGTCATAGAACACAACCAAAGTAGAAGAAATAGAAATATTTTTTTTCATTTATAATCGTTGTCATAGACAACCTAATGCGGCTATGAGAGGGAAAAATTTATAGAAAACACTAAAAAAACAAGATAAACTTTTTGAAAAAAGATAAGATATTTACAAAAGATTTTGATTATATCGAACTGTTGTGTAGATCGTGAGTATTTCCATAATCTTTGAGTCGCCTGTAATGCTTCGCAATTGCTCGAATTCGAGCAACAGGTACACTAGTCTATATATTAATTTGAAACAGTTTTTCTTTGTCATAGCTAATTTGAGCGAACGGCTGGGCGTAGAAACTCGGTAGAGGTGTCTAATGAAAGTTCTTGGTCTGTAGATGAGTCATTAAAAGAGAAACGTGGTAAATTCCCTTGGGGCTCTGCCCCAGTGGCCTTTGAATTCCCATCCCATGTCATTCTTATGGAGGAAACTGGGTTTTTGTCCGAGCTAATTTGAGAGAACGGCTGGGCGTAGAAACTTGGTAGGGGTCTCTAAAGAAAGGTCTTGGTCTATAGATGAGCCATCAAAAGAGGAACGAGGTAAATTCCCTTGGGGCTCTGCCCCAGAAGCTTTAAAAGTTGCCTCTTCAAATTTGTTTACCATATGCTTAATTCTACACTACTTTTTAATGAAACAGCTGTTAATATTTAAATTGTGATTTATTGAATTTTTCAAAATGAGTACAGTATTTGCAATGGGGTTTTCTGATTTTAAAATCGATTTTATTCTGTTTTTAGAGTTTTCTGCAAATGTTTCCAACTCATAGCCGCATTAGGTTCTCTATAAAAACGATTATAATCGAAAAAAAACATTATTTCTATTTCTTCTACTGCACTTGGTTGTGTTCTATGACTTTCCTGTTTCCATTGTTTGCAAATCGGCTCTTTCAATTATTGCTCAAGAAATGTAGCACAGTGTTAATTCAGTTTTATTTTTAGTATATCAAATTGTCCAGGATTTCTCGCTTTTTTCCATTGTAATTTGAAAAGTTACACCAACCAAGTATCGTCTACTACAGATGCAATACGCCAAAGAATATCGTCTACGTGCAATCTCCAAGAAGTGGTAAAAAAGGCAGAAACCAACCTATACAATAGATATAAGTTAACTCCATATAAATAATTTTAAGATTTATTTACTGTGATATTAGGATTTTCCACTGATTTGGTAAAAGAACATTATATTGCAAAACATGGCACGATTCA